TCTCTCTCTGTCTCTCTCTCTCTCTCCTGACCCACTATAAGAGAAAACTCACAAAATCTCTTTCTGTTGCAGTGTTTAGTGGAATTATGGAGAAAAAAAAATTACTACACCGTCTTTACGTCTGAATGGTTGCCTGCCTGCTTTCCTGCCTGTCTGTCCGTCTGTCTCTCTGTCCGTCTATCTGTCTGTCTGTCTGCCTGTCTCCCCACCCCTCTCTCTCTGATTCACCCTCTCTCTTCCTCTCTACCCCCCTCTCTTTCTTGACTTACAACTTACAACAAAAAAGAAAGCTTACAATATATCTGTTCTTGTTGTGGTTATTGTTGTTCATCTTGTTTTCGTTGCTGTTGTTTAAGTGTTGGTAGTGGTTGTAGCTGAAGTTTTTAGTTGTAGTTAAAGATATCTATCGTTTGCTTTGTTTACATTTTATAGCTAAGACTCGTTTCAACTTTCAAATAATTGTTCTCTTTCTCTGCGTTTGTGCTTTTGACTGACAGTAAATTTTCTGTGTTCCACCCCTCCCATAACCCCCTCCTCACACACCATCCCCACCCCCACCCCCCTCCCTACCCACACAAACACACTTGCAAAACAAAACACACACACACAAACGCACACACACAAACACACATACACACACACACAAACATACACACAACAAAACCCGCACACAAACACACACACACACACACACACAAACCCACACATACACAGAAACGCTGGGAACTCCGAGTGGACATGGTACTCAAAGGAAAACCCTACTTCGCCCAGTACGCCTACTTCAAAATCCAGCCAGAGAGTCTCAACTACGCCCTCCTCGTGGGGGGCTACTCGGGGACTGCAGGGGACAGCCTCAGTTACCATAGCAACAACGGCTTCAGCACGGAAGACCGAGACAACGACCGGAGCTCTGCGCTCCACTGTGCCCGCTCCCTTAAGGGGGCGTGGTGGTACAACAGCTGCCACACGTCCAACCTTAACGCTCTCTACGGCTCTCGCGAGAAGTCTCAGGGGCTCAACTGGATGTCTCTGACGGGCGATAGCGACACTGTGGACATGTCGGAAATGATGATACGACTGGCTAAATGATTATATAACAGGCTGGATTGGAAATGTTGGAAATGATGATATGTTGGCTAAACGATGACCTGACTGGCTTGATAATAAATGTCAGAAATGATGACACGACTGGCTTGATAATAAAGGTCAGAAATGATGACACGACTGGTTTGATAAGAAATGTCACAAATGATGATCTCGGGAAGCATACAGCGCAAGCTGCCATTTTTATGATTCTACAGACGCTTAACTCTTTCACTCCCAAGGTGTTTTCCTCATCTAGACCGGACCTATTCTCATTCTCCTTTCCCTCAAAACAAATTAAAGTATTTTAGTTCAATTCTCAATATCAGTTACATGTATTACATATCAGAATAAAAGGGAAATAATGAGCAATTTCAACACACAGCTAGAAATGATAATTCTCCAGCTTGAGATTTCAGTTTCGATATTACAAAAGTAGAACTGGTTTTGAAGCAGAAAGTGGAGAGCTGTGAAACAGGGCTTGTGGTCCAGCGTTGGGGGTAACAGGAGACGTGAAACATCACTCGCGACAAGAACTTTCGCTGTCTATGTTCGGGTACCCATTCACACTTAGAAGAATGAGGAAAATTTGTGTAAAGTGCTTTTCCCAAGGTCACAAAATTGGGTATGAGTGGAAATATTATTATTAAATTATCGTTAGGTCAGCGATCCGAGACAAAAGCCAAAAATTCCTTTATAAAGCTTGTTTTATTTATAGTTCTTGTGTTGCTATGTACAACATGCACTGGAATACAGAGCAGAAATCAGAGATAATGCACACTCTGTCAACAATTTCTATTTGCTTTGTTTGTTTGTTTGTTTGAGAAAGACATCAACACAATAATAGTCATTTAGTTCTGGGAAAAAGCAAAGAAGACAGACAAAACAACTGAGTGTGAGAAATGAAGTGGGACCTACAAGCAGAGCCCTCCAACTACACATAGAAGCATCAGTAAAATGGGAACAGCACAGGATAGATGTTTGTGTGGAGTGTTCTATTGTGTTGTGTATCCATGGACATGGAGAGCAAAAAGGGACAAATATCTTCTTATGGGAAGGAAACTGAGTTGGACCACACAAAACGCTACAGAATAGTGGGGAAAGTGAGAAGGGGGTGGGGGGGGAGGAGGCAGCTTGAATTTATGATTGTGAGTGTTGATCAAACAGTGTATCACAGATAAGTCATTTATGGGGTGTTTCAGGCTAATATTTGAGCGTGTGCTGGATGACATGAGCGGCTTCCACAACGGTCTGTGGCACAGGTCTCCTGACTCGTGGGTCCATCACTGGCACGTTCAATCTGAGGAGGGGGGAGGTAAAAAGGACACATGTTAGAGAAAGTCATTTACCTGCTGTTGAATACTGAGCTGGTGGTGGGAAAAGAAATGTGCCACGACTCTATGGAATCAGGCGCTCATAAATTTTTTAGCATAGATATAGAGTTATTGGTATCATCTTTAAGCTTATTTATTTGTCTTGTTTTTGATGAAAAATATTTAAAGATGCACATATATTTTGAATAGCAGTCGAGATATTTGTTATTGGTAGAGGTGATGGTCACCTGGTATCAGAGCTAAAATTAGAGAGAAAATGGCTACCAAAATTTGGTTAATTCCAAAACTTGATTGTCCTTGGAAACTGAAAATGTACATTCTTAATGCCTTTTATCAAATATTTCCATTAAAATTCACACAGAAATGTGCTCGATTTCTTGACACTCTGTAGGCTTACTGACATAAGTCACTTACTTGACATTGGTCTTGTTGTTCACCACGAACAGAGGGTTCACTTGGCTTAAGATTTCGTCATTGACCGAGATACCATCCAGGTACTGCTTGAGGAGAGTTCGCAGTTGGTGGTTCTCCTGAAATGTTGGAAACAAATGTTAAGAGTTACTGAAACACTGGAAACACATGTAACGGGTTACTGGAATATAATACAAAAAGAAACACAGTAATGGAAGATTATACTTAATTAGTGAGACAGATGAATGAAATATTGCAACAAACGTAACAGGTTACTGGAATTTTGTAAGAAGAGTAACAGGTTATTGGAGTACTGTAACAAATGTAATGTTACTGGAAAAACATTTTTTTTAATGTATGCAGGAATATTGTTGTAAAAAGATCTTACAAATTACTTGAATATTGTTGTAAACCAAAAAAAAAAAAAAAAAAAAAAAGTAACTGAAATATTGCAGCAACAAACAAATCAGGTTACTGGACTATTGTTTAAAACACAAATTTTAATGTAAAGGTTACGAAATACTGTTCATTTTGTGACTGCAACAAATTTTAAGGGAGAGTTAAGGAGTTCAAGTTTGATAAGCCACTTTATTTTTACTTTGCAACCCAGACTGTTGTAAATGATAATTGTCTAATTCTTAAGGGTACTGTCTAAATCCAGATATGTTATGCTTTAGTTTAGTGGGGGGGGGGGGATATAGATAGATAGATAGATAGATAGATACATATATATAAAGGGGAAAGGGGTGGATATATATATAGGATAGTGAGGAGGGAGGGTACCCAAGCCACATTATGGGGAATGGGAAAGGGGTGGAGGAGGTGGTACCTAAGCTATGCTTTGAGGGGAGGGGGAGGTACCTGAGCCATGCTTTGTTGACAGGGAGGGGGACGGGAGTAGCTGAGACATGCTTTGGGGATGGTTGGGGAAAGGGGGGGGGGGTAATTTTACCTGAGCCATGGTCTGTTTCTCCTTATCCAGGGCCAGCTTGTCCAGTAAGACTTTGTTGTAACGCTTCCAGAAGTTCTCCAGCGATGTGTAATCATGCATCACCTGGCACACACAAACACAGGAAAAGGTGGTTAGAAAAACCTGGCCTATTTTGGAGTAATAGTTACGCACTTCCACATTGTACACAAAAATCTATTAATTACTCAAATTTCGGAATTTTAGGAGCCATAAAACAATTAAATAAATCAATGCTGACATCAGCTCATATTTATGGGTAAAAGGATTTACCAAAAGGTCTACTTCTTTACTCCCTCTCTGCTATTTCTATATCTGTCTGTCGGTCTATGTAGCTTTTTTCTCAGCACTAAGAAACTGTTATTGTGTTGAGTAATTCTCTCCAGATCAAATACCCCTTCCCCCCCAACCCCACCTTTTCCCTTCATTTTAAACAAACCTCTATGAATGTCTTTCAGGCAATAAAAAGTTTAACTCAGCCATTTTATAAATGTTTTTCTGACAGTGGAAAACTTATCTCTATCATTCTATAAACACTTGGTTGATGGTGAAAAAACTTAGCTAATGTTGTTGGTGGTAGAAAGCTTACCTCTGCCATTCTCTAAATGCGTCATGACACGGTGGAATCAGGCGCTCGTTAATTTTGGGGCATACGCAGTTATTGGTATCATCTTAGAGACTGTCCATTTGCCTTGCTTTATATGGCAAAAATATCCATTCACCTTGAATACAAGTCAAGATAGGGGGTCGCCTAGTTTCAGGAGCAAAATTAGCGACAAAATAGCAGCCAAAGTAGCGTTACTTCCTATGCTTGAGAGTCCGTGGAAACTGAAAATTTACATCTTTTATCAATGTTTTTCAGTAAAAACCACACATAAATATTTTTTTTTACGGGTATGAACAATGTAGAGCCTAAAAACAAACATTTTGAAAAAAATTCCCAGACCTGTGGGAAAAATGCCAGTTTCTTCCCTTCCATTTATTTTGGCGAGTGCCTGATTTCACCACGCTGTCTCACAAAAATGTTTTGTTGGTGAAATAAAACTTACCTCAGCCAGGGGTTGTGACGGAGGTTCTAGAACCGCAGCCTCCACATCCTCCTGCTCTTCCTTGGTGAGTGAGGAGGCGTAGAACGGCAACACTTTCTCCTCTTCCGTCTCCATCTTGCGACACATTTCGGCCAGTCTCAGAATCAGCTCACCCTATGACGGGAAGTTTTGATTAAGCGGAGAGCAGAATAAAAACCACCCAATCCCCCCAAAAAAGACAAAAAAAACCCCAAACAAATGAGAACATCTGTGAAGTATCAATTTTGTTTCTTCAGGTCTGTGTGTCTTTGTCTTTGTGTGTCTTCAGCTTTGTGTCTTTGTCTTTGTGTGTCTTCAGCTTTGTGTCTTTGTCTTTGTGTGTCTTCAGTTTTGTGTGTCTTCAGCTTTGTCTGTCTTTGACCTTGTTCGTCTTTTAAGTTTGGGTACCTTTTGACTTTGTGTGCATAACTTTGTATCATTTCTTTTGGTCATTTATTACCCACTTGTAATACTAAACACAATTGAAAAGTAGTATTTGCTTGGTGCCTTTCTACACAGTAAGATTAATAAAGAGGGGCAGACTTCTGATTTTAATGGTCATCTCTGATAGGATCAAGGCAAGTGGATGACAAGACCTGAAAACTGTGAAGTAGCAGTTAGGCCCTTTGCCATCACATGCAGAAGACCTGAGTTTGATTCCTGTATGGGAAGCATTTCAATAGAGTATCTTGGTCATTCTGCTGGGACCTCTCAGTCCAGGTTTGCTCTGACAAGCAGAGTCAAGGAACACATTCCAAATGATCTAAATTGTGTTGATGGGGATGTAAAACACCTTTCTTTTAAACAAAAAACAAAAAACAAAAAAACTCCCAAAACAACCTAAGCTCAAGCACACTCTTCAGTAAAATCGAACCAGGGCCATATTTTTATGCACTATACTCTAGCGTAGTACCAGCTGAGCTATTACTGTTTTCTTCTTCTCTTTCTCCAGTATTTTTCCTTTAACTTCTGTCGTTCTTTAGTTTCTCCGTCTGTCATTTCTTACCTTCTCCTTCTGTCGCTTGATCTCCTTGATGGCTGCATTGCTCTCCAGTGTGAGTTTTGTCAGTTTGTCTCTTTCCTTGTCCCGGACTTGGTTCATCTCGGCTTTCAGTTCGTGGAAATGTCTCTGCATCTTTTCTCTGTCCTGTTATCAACAAATATACATAACATGATAGAGATGATGGAATTCAACTAGAATAAAATGAGAAAAAGTAAAGCATTTCTCACTGACCCCTGCCACTAAAATACAATAAAAGATAATTAAATTAAGTTATCAGTTGTTGTTGTTTTTTTTTGTTTTTTTTGGGGGGGAGGGGTTCTTAAAAAGTTTTTTAAAAATAGTTTTTTACTGAATAAAAACAATTAAGTATAAAACATTTTTTTAAGGATCACAGAGAAGAACTGCCAGCTCAAGATCACAAAACAATGGAATTTTTCTAAAATTCCTAGGGAAGTTGAATTTGCCTCATGTATCTTCAAGATATCCAAGCATTAAGCTGTTTCAAATACAAAGAAATTAAAACTGTATATCAATAGGACAAAAAAACAGGAGATAAATTCAAATTTCAACCTTTTATCTGACAGGGAGAACAATAGAACTCTGCAACTTCTATACTTTCTTATCAAAAACTCAAAAGTATAAGGGGGAACCCATCCATTTCTTAATGTCTGATTTTGTCACTTTATCTAAATGGTATGCAAATGTCATCAGCTGTATCATACATCCCAAACAACTTTTGGTAAGAAATAATAATACTCTTTTGCTTTTTTGGTAGGGAAGACAAATTCAGTTAAACACACAAAAGTTAAGACTAAAACATCCCCAAAAATGTAAAAGTTGTAAACTTTAGAAAAAAGAAAATGAAAGGAATCAACAAAACATGAATGCAAAATTAGAATGTGAACTATTTCTTCATGCAATAAAATAAAGGTTTTCCCAAAACGATCAAATCAAATCATATCATTCAAAATTAAAACTTCAAGAGCAAGCTAAAAATAAAATTAGAATACCTTTTTGGTTATGATTGTTTCTTCTTCCTACACAACCAAAAGCGAAAATATGTTCAATTAAGAAAATGTAACACACAGAAAGACAGCGGTTTCTTGACAACAATAATGGGAAACCACAGAGCAAGAAAATTCACAAAAAGTGGAAATTCATCAAACACGATCGGAGCTGTTTTGGATTGAGTGACCAATGATTGAGGGATAACAATATCCCCTATCTCAGTGAGGTATACATATTAAAAATTTGTCTATTGGATAGGTTCATTCAGTCTGTCAGAGTGTACTGTAATTATCTCCAATCTTAAATCCCCCGTATCTTCAATTTATCAAATAAAATTCCTTATTCCCCTAAACAAAGAGATTTCAGGAACTATTGTTAGATAAGGCAAAATAGCTCTACTGAAGAAAAAAAAAAGATGGTAAATCAGAGATATTAAACTGTGAATAATCTTATAGTGTTGAAAAGACTGTAAAACCCTTGACATACAACATATCTTTAGCCAGGATAGCTGCCCAGCTGACAGGAATTCTACGAATTCAGAAATAAAGAAAAAAAAGTGTGCATGGAAGCCTTGGAAGAAGCTTGTAGACACATGCGTACACCATCCATGGAGATGGTAAGCATCATGACGATATTTGTAATAGTTTTTTTGCGGAGACTAAAGTCATAACTGGGTTATAGTCTTAGCAAAGAAGATGATCATGGTCAGGATTGATGGTGAGGGGATTGGGGAGTCGCATACAGAAAACATTACTCATGATGTAGGTTGAAGAACCTGGAGGCAATTACTTACGCCTTAGCAAAACAAGAATAACAATTTAATGTAACAAAGCAAAAGGATGCGGTTCAATTTACCAATCAGTCTTATATATAAGAGTATCTGTATTTTTTTAGCCTGCGGTCAGTAAAAGCTCTAGTGCGCTAGTGTGTCACAGCATCACTTTACACACACTCCACGATACAAAAAAATAAACTAACAAAACAAAACAACAAACAGAATATGTCATCCTACCTCCTTCAGCCCTTTGTTCCTCTCCTCACATTCTTTAGCATTTGCTGACATCTTACTTTTCAGCTGGGCAATTTGATCCTTTGGACGGGAAGGAAATTAAAAATGATTTTCAAAAGTAAAGAAAAGAAAACATTTAAAGCATAATACAGTCCTACATGTCCAAGACAATTGTCCAATGTCTATGAGAAAAGTGGTAATCTCAGACAAGTGGTGCTCTTTGACAGTGTCATTATAATATATGATCATACAGAGCAGGTAAGACTGTGTATATTACAGTCAGACCTGTGTTAGACGGAATCGAAAGGGAGCCAGAAAAAAATTCCGTCTTAGAAATTTTACATCTTAGACAGAGGAATTTATGGAGGGGTTCTAAGTCCCAGCCGGTGGGATCAAGGGTCGCTTGTGCGGTCGGCCAGCTGTCACAAATGGTCAAAACTTTACACCTCTCAACTGCTATCCTCTCTGATAAAGACACGCGTCAGTCTTACTTATCCAATTACCACCAGTGTTTGTATTTCATAGAACCACTGCTTGATCTATTAAAAACAGAATCATTTGAACCTCTCCTTTGCTTCCACCCTTATTCCCACCCATCAGTGTAATAAGTACAGTCAACCAACCACCCTTCGCAGCCATGTAACAACGATTCGAGGAACTCTTTTCTCAACTGGCTGTATGATTAGAGTGGAGGGCATCGGGCAAACTAATTTCACACCTCTGGCCTCTACAACCAATAAAGTTTCCATGCTGGAGACCCATTTGAACACTTTCACTGGCACTTGTTAGATTTTACAACCACATCCCTCTGACCATCTTCACCACAAAGGGCTCACTCTTCCTCGACCGACAGCATGATGTTAAGTTTAGAGCCAGTGGAATCAAACTTGCAAGTTTTATTACAAATCAGGGCTGCACAGGCAAAGCATTTTCAGTCTTAGACAGGTGAAATCCACGAAAGAGAGCGGGGTTTTTTTCCGTTTCCGCATTGGACAGGTTTCTGTTTTATACAGGTAGTTAAAGAGGAATATATCAAGGGGGGGGAGCGGGGAGACTCTGTTAAGACAGGTTTCCGTTTTACACAGGTTTCCGTTAAGGCATGTTCGACTGTATATGTATTGGAAAACATATATTTTCACACTGACTGACTTATGAGAATAAATCAGAAGCATGCTAATTGTTGCCATAAATAAAAACACACAGTACAACTTGCTTACTTAGCAAAAGGTGCCTGTACTATCTTGAACATTAAAAGAACCCCCCCCCCCCCAACCTATAAGCTACTGTGAGCAAGCTATATCAGACAGTAGTAAGGTCCTTCACTGATTGGTTTGCAAATGTTTTATAAAATTGTTGAGCATATAAAACATTTCTTCAAAGGAAATATTTTAAGACAGATGAGACACAATTTTAACAGCTCTACACCCAAAAATGTAAGGATCAAAATAAGATCAGCTTAAAACCACAACAATCATCCATTCTGAGACTCATTCCATTATGAACTATCAAAATTAAAACAAAATTGAATTGCAATAACGGAAAACTATTCAAAGCATAAGTCACTTCATTGGCCACTACATTCCTTACCCCAATCCTCTGCAGTTTCCTCATTTGCAGTTCAATTTCCTTGGCACTCTTTTCATCTTTGATCTTCAAGGACTCAAAGACTGTCTTTTTCTCCTCTGTTGTTTCGTTGTAATTCTTTGAAAAAGAAGAAAATAAGGATTCATTGAACATTATTTGATATAAAGTTGAAAACCTGTGCACATGAAAGTATTCACTCAGGCATCTGTACAACTAAGATTTGAATCAAATGATGCTCACCCTTTGCAAGGAAAAAAGACCTTTGACTTAACATCACTGGGGGGGGGTGAAGATGCCTGATCAGGTTGATCTTTATCCGCAAATATAAAATAAAATTGATATATCTTAAAAATGCAGTCAGCTCCTCTTCATTATCAATATATATTTATCCCTTTTTGGAATACACATAACTAACGACCTCCATAATTGATTTAGACAATGTCAAGTTCTCTTGGTCTGCTTTCATTTTTCATTTATGTGACAGCTCTGGATCGATCATGTTACCATTCCAAAGGAACTGAGTACATTTGTTCCAAACTTTTCAATTTATTACTATTGTAAGTACTGAGTTATGATAAAATACAAAGGAGAGAAACCTGTAGAGCCTGGCGGAACTGCTGCCACAAATCGTCAACTTTTGTCTCCAGCTGAACTCGCAGGGCATGCTTTTCTTCCAGGTTCTGAAATGTCACAACAAAAAATGTTGGAGGGAGTCATATCAAATTCATTTGTCAATGATGAGTTGTTAACTGTGGAGAACATACTCAGCTTTTTAGTTTCTGAATGGGCTAAAAAAAAACATGTACAGTAGTCTCCGACTGAGATTCCTGTGCTCAGGAGCAAGGAAAATGCAGGATCTTAGGCGAATGGGATCTTAGCTGATGAACAAAGGAAAGAACCTACGGTGACCCATATTAAGGCCCACAACTGGTAAAATGGTTTCTCTTCACTCTAAAACGAACTGACGAGAACCCTGGGTAGGTTTATGACAGAGAGCAAAGAGTGGTCAATCTTGATGACCAATCACAGTGGCATGAGGCATGCCATTTTAACTTATTATCCTATCGTGAGTCTCAAGATCTACACTGATCCAATTACCAACCCCCCACCCCACCTTTACCTGTCCATAATTCATAGCTTTTTGTCTCTGACCGAGTTCCTCCACCTTTGTTGTTAGGCACCATTACTTTGTGACAACACAAATTAAAATTCAGTTTGTCTTGCAAATTCTGGAGTAGAGACAACTGCTGCAAATGTCAGGGAAAAGTTCACAGTTGGATGTGATCCCGCCTGGAGCAAATGTGTAGGCCCTATCCACCCTACGAGTGATGTAAGTTTAGGTGAAGACCTCAAATGCGAGTGCAATGTTAGGGGAAAACAAACGCATCCGCAAAATTCACACCTCCGTGTGATCCCGTCCGGAGCAAACAATGAGTTTTACAACAAGTATATGTGATCACATTCACAAGTGTGTCTGATCTTTGAAGTGGCAGGCAGTTCAATGATCTCAACTTTTCACTCTTGGTTGATCGCCTATGCCAGTCCTGGTTTTTGTTCCGTAAATTATGATCTGAAATGCGGGATCTTAGCCGAATGTAAACCTTCAGAGTGAATCAGAGCAGGATCTTAGGGGTGACTTTTGTATAGTAAAAATTCTGTTTTCTTAAAACAGCGGGATCTTAAGCGAACTGGGATTGTAAGTGGTGGGATCTAAGGTGGAGACTACTGTTCATATAAGTGTACAATCTTGCCAACTTTTTCAAAACCGTGTCAGGAACACCAAACATTATGACATCAGATTACTTAACAACAAAAATTTACAAGTAAGACTCGTTTTAGCATAGTAATGTATATGTCCTCTCATATTCCCTAAATGCCAAATCCAGAACATTTCCAAGAAATTCAAGACAGTTGGCCTAGGTACACAAACTTCAGTGGAGATTTTTTACGTTTATAATTTAAGGATCTGTAAAACATCAATAATACAAACCTTATTCTTGATTTCATCTCGCATCGACTGAAATTCCGACTTTGCTTCATTTTCGCGCTCCTGAAAGTTTTGATCCATGGCAAAGAGAATGTCAGCGATATCGTTCATCTCGATGTTGTGCTGGTCGATCAACATAGCTCTCTCAAGATCGAATTCCTCACATACAATCTCCAGCTCCACTGAGTACTCACGGGTCAAGGCCTCCAGGCGCTGCTTCTGAAGCTCTAAGAGAAGTCAGATACAGATTGAGACATTATTTGATAGCTCTGACACAAATTGGGAAAAAAAAGCTTTTAATCATTCTTCAACTAAGACAGAAAACGGGAAACAGATTGAAATATCATTTTACAGCTCTGAAAGAATTAGGAAGAATATCTAGACAATTTATACAGACCTGCCAACAACTCCATGATTGAAAATAGTATTTCTCAAAATCTCCCCCCCCCCCCCCTCCCCCCAAAAAACTTTTTAAAAACACATGCCCACACAGTCCATCACAAAAGGCCTTGAACTTGAAGGGAAGTTGATCATTTGTAAAAAAAAGCAATCTCGATAAGCTGCCCAATGATCTCAGAGAAACACAACCAAATTCAAAGCAAAACGGAATGAGATAGGAAAAAAATCCACCACAACGACTCATCTGATGGGAGACACTTAAGTAGTCTAGGCAAGAGGCTGCATTCTTGTTCTTCCTTATTTCCGACATTCATCGCAAATATCTGCTTGCCTGTGCTTTTGCTGTATCCTTATAATATTAAATCTTTATTCTTTTCTGAGTACTTTAGATGAAAATAAAAGCTTGTAGCAAGTAACCTAAATTTTAATTATGGAAATGTGCATTTGTGTCATGACGGGGTAGAATCAGGAACTCTTCAATTTCGGGAACATGGGGTTGTTGGTATCGTCTAAAAGTTTTTTCATTTGCTTTGCTTTCAAAGAAAAATATATTCATCTACTTTGAATAGAAGTCGAGATATTTGTGATCGAAGGAAGTGGGAAAATGGCCCCCAAATCTCAGTAACTTCAATAGCTTGTGAATCCCTCAAAACTCAAAAATGACATACTTTGTGCCTTCAATCAATATTTTTCAGTCAAATTCACATAGAAATGTGTTTCAGTAAGGACATGAAAGTGTTAAACCAAAAACCAAAAATTTGAAAAAAATTGCCAAACTGGCGGGAAAATGTCTGTTTCTTTGATTTTAGTATTTTGACGAGCACCTGATTTCACCACGATGTCTCACATATATGCCTGTTTTCAACTAAATGTGTGGCCACAAAATAGGGAATAGGCCTTCAACTTATAAGAATTTAATTAGCACTATTAGGCACATTTCACCTTGTAATCAGGATTTGATAACTGTGGTGATGAATGAAATAACTGCTGTGCATTGTACACAGTCATGAGATTATCCATACCATGGATACCAATAAGATAATCCATACTTTAAATACCCATGTGGTAATCGATTTTTCGCATCTGTGTGGATAACCCAAAATTCAAATACAGGGGATATGATCCCCATTTTACACACCTATGAGATGATCCATTCTCTATATATCCATAAGATAATTTTTCCACCTTCCATATACTCATGAGATAATCTACATTCAACATACCCATGAGATAATCCACATTTTGCAGATGACTACGGAGGGCCATGGCATATTGCTCTTCTGCTTCTGCAATATCTTTAGATAAAGATTTGATCACAGCATCCTTCCGATCAATGACTCTCTCAAATGTCTGACTGAGAATTTCGATATCCTTCTTCAGTTCCTTGGCCTTCGCCTCCCTCATTATGTTCCGCCATTGATGGTTCAGTTTGTTCAGGTTGTATCGGGTTGCCTTCTCTTCCTTCACAAGTTTGTCCTGTCATTGTGGAAAAAAAGAGGAAGAAAAAGGTTTTAACATATCATTAACACTTTCTGTAACCTTATAAATTACACAAGAAAGTTAAAAGAAGAGAACATTCACACCATTTTTACAATTTTTATGTGATCATGCTATAACTTATGAAGGTAGTAAATACATTTATATGAACACAAGAACACAGCTTTGATTTAAAAAAATATATATTAGGACTTTTAAAATTCAATTCTTCATGTGAGAAATGCTCTACTTGGCATAAATAGTTCATTTCAGATGTGAACACTGAAGAAAAAATCAAGATTGGACAAAAAAAGTCCATTTAAGAAATGTGTAAGGGGGTATTTTGTCAGAGTTAACTATTTCACTACTAGGGGCTTTTCCTCACCTGGACCAGGCCCTATCTGTGACCTACTTTCTGATTCTGTTTACCGTTGGATAAATTACAAATTTTGAGTTCAATTTTTAATATTAGCCACATGTATTATATGTGTCACAACGCGGTGGGATCAGGCATTCGTCAATTTTTGGGCATGTGAAGTTATCGGTATCATCTTAAAGTATGCTCATTTTTGTATCTTTTGATGAAAAAAATATCCATTTATCTTGAACAGGAGTCGAGATATTCATGAATGAAGGAGACGGTGTCACCAGGTTTCAGAGGTAAAATAAGCAAGAAAATGAGCGACGAAGATTGGTGACTACCATAGCTTGAGAGACCTCCTTTGAAACTGATAATTTACATTTTCTGTGTCTTTATTCAACAGTTTAGAAAAAAAAATCAACACAGAAATGTGTTTTTAAACATACATGAAAGGTGTTAAGCCAAAAAAAAAATTGGAAAAATATTGTCAGATAGAAAAATGCAGTTTACTTTGATTTCATTAGTTTGACGAGCGCCTTATTTCACCACGAAGCCTAACATAAATGAAGGTAAAGGGGAAATAATGACCTTTCTAAACATTTTACTTAAAACGATAATTCTTTTCCCTGAGACTTTAATTTCAATCGTTACAAAAGTAAGTGTGGTTTTGAAGCAGGAAGTGGCGAGCTGTGAAACACGGATCACAGTAGTCAAAGAGATAAAGGAAAGTGAGGTTATTAGTCAATGGTTTCAAGGTTGGAAACCTTTTAAAACCCTTAAGGGGTGAAAGTATTTCTTTCATGAAACGGTTCGAAAATAAAGAAAAAAAGTATGCTCTGTCCTGTGAAAAGAATCTAGAAACTCTGATATTAAGATGTGTGTAGCCTCAGGGTTTCACCCTTTTTCATCATCCTTATGATGAAGTCTGAAGGTTGTCATGTCATTGTAACATTGCGAGACTCATTACAAGGGTTGAGAAGATGGGACTGAAGAAAAAAAAGTATAATTTCAGTATATGACACAACATACTTTTGAAACAATAATATACCTTTAGAAATTGAGCAAGAACATCTTCTTTTTTCTTTCGCATCTCTTCCTCCGCCAGTCTTTTTTGCTCTTCATAGGCTATACGTTCATCTTCTGACATAGCCTTTTTGCCAGATCCCCTCTTCTTCTTCGGCATCTTGGCTGTGTTATTGTACTATATGAACACACCTGAAAGAGTAAAAGATCAAACAGATTTAAGAAAATAAGAATCATTCTTCAATAATAATAATAATAATGTAGATCATTTCAATTCTATAGCGCCCGCTCCCATGTGAACACAGCTCTAGACACTTTACATTGCCTTGGAAGCGTGCAGGCCCTATATAAAGGGCATGAGCCGGGCTACCCGGGAAGCGCGCAGGCCCTATATATAGGGCTGACCTACTTCGACCGGGAAGCGCGCAGGCCCTATATAAAGGACAAAGACGCTGACCATTTTCAATGGAAAATTTCAGTATACCTTATATGAAAAATGACGTAGTAAATTACAGGTCAAAGTTATAAATAGTGACCAATTACTTTGCAAGTTATCTTGACCTTGAAGAGCGTCTCTTGGCCAAGATATCGATCGGTAAAGTGACGCAGTCCAGCTAAGTGACGACACGGTAAGTGTTATCACTTGTTTCACTGTGCTGATGTACTAATAGCGGAATTTATCGCGTTTTGTGCTTTGTTTGTATTTAGTTGATCGCTTATCATTTTTTTAATGGCTCATTCTATCAGCTTTAAGAAAATGTATGGTTTTATATGCCTTTTATCATCTGTTGAGCCATAAAAGGTCATTTTTCAGAAGCAGGTATACATCTCGGGTATCTCAGCTGATCCCCCCCCACACCAAACCCCCATGTTTACAGCCAATCGGCTGTGGCGGCGGGGCCGGGTTACTTCAGGTGAAACGCTGAGCGCTTCTAGGGTTAATGCGAGAACAAACAATATTCACACATGCACAACACACACTAATGCACACATTACATGCATACACATGCATGCACATGCACGCCTCACACACAAAAGTGAACTTAAACTCTCCACTTGGAGCTTTCTTGATCTAATACACACGTCCTAGGTCTAAACTTTTAGTGGGGCCACTTTGGTTTGCCAAGCCATCAGATATGAAAGACATTTTTAGCTTATAAATGGAAGGATAAGGAATTAATTTTTTTTTTCCATCTTTCACTTTCATATAGAATCTAGAGTCTATGTAAAAATATTAAGACTTCTGATATCTAAATATTAGCAGTACAATCCTACCACACAACAACTGAACCAAAACGAAACAAGGCAGTTAATATTATACAGTTTCTTCAATATTGTATATGTTTTGTTTCTCATTGGTGAAAAAAACCCCAACCAAACTAGATTACTAGTTGACATAGGCTATAGAAATTTCACAATGAGTTAATAACAATTTTTAACTGGAAAATATCTCTGCAAATGTCATGACTAAACAGACGCAGAAGTGGAATTTTTCATTTAAAGGCCTACTCTTCACACTGTCTAATCATTTACAAACCAAAATACACATTGGTCTTTTAGACTAGAATCTATATTTAAATTTTAGTCTTTACTCTCGTCTCGGTTTCGGACATAAACATTAAATAAAAGAACACACACAATAATTATAATAATACTCAAACTCAAACGAAAGCATTTACTTTTACACTACACTACACTGCATACCCACACAATAACACTCAAAACGAAATCATTTACACTACATACCAACATATAAATATATATACACGTACACGGGCAAACACATACAAACAAACAATCAAGAACACATATGCACAAAAATTATAGCACCGAACGAATTTCAACCTGAGAAAAATAGCTTAAACACTGCCTTCCGCGTTTTGGTCGACTTCGCTGTCAATGTTGTTATGGCGACACTCAAAACCGGATATGGTTTAAGATTTTAACATTCCCCATTAAGTAAATTAAAAACATTAAGTGGTGATAATATTATTTGAGTTCAATTATTATTATTCTGTTTTGTTTCAAATATTTTAGACTATCAAAGGGATGGAATAGGTTTATTTTAGTCAACACTACATTGTTCGTGAAAAATTAGCTCTAGATCTAGTCCACTCATAGATTCTAGAATGCGCAAAGGAATAGCTGATTCTCTTGCCAACTTTTGACCTCTTACTCTCTTACTTCTTACTTACCTCCTCCTGCTTAGCCTAATGTTGTACTTTCGTTTTCAATGCACTTGAGTTTTGTCAAAGTCGGCCCGCTCATACTGGCCCTGAATTAAACATTTCAAATAGAAGGCAAAAACCAAAAATCAAAGGCAGAAAAATAACCACTATTGTTGTAGTCAAGATGGTGAGGAGAGTCGGAATAGTTGGCTATGGGCACTTGGGTAAGTTGGCCAACAAGTGTGTAGCCTGGGTAGTGGTAGATCTAGACCTCTAGTGGTAGCCTACCTACTCCTACTTTACTCACCTACTGTAACTTTTTTTGTAAATTTGTAAACGAAGTGTATAGATCTACTGACCCGGTAACCGGGAACAAAGTCACGAAGTACAGTCAAACCTGTGTAAGACGGCCACCCATTGTCAAGGAGAAAAGTGGCCGTATAATGCAGGTGGCCGTCTTAGGCAGGACTGATCAACAACATGAAGAAAACAAACCATTCCCATCTTAGGTCCCAATTGAAAGTAACCGCATTGTTGCTGTTTTTGTTGTTGTCGGTTTGTATTTTGTTTGTTATTTTTATTTTGTTGCTGATTTTGCGCAAGAGTGACAATAAAACAAAATGTATCAGACGAGGAAGACCGAGTGCTTACCTCACCAGCAGCTGAAAATTGGTACAATAGGTCTATTGCTCAACAGTGGGAGGGGCCTACGCAACATGATCGGTTGGAGGGACTATAGATCTAACAACAACGACGAGGGATTGGATTATGACGGCTCGCCCACATCGCCAGAGGCCAGTACACAATACTTTTTATGACAAAACGTAATGGAGTCACTAAGGTGGCTGTCTAAGACAGGTGTTATAATTGCTTAACTAGTGTGATAGGGGTTGTGTGTTAAAATATGGTGGCCGTGGCCGTGTTGGACAGGTGCCCGTTTTACACAGTTAAATTATATAGAAAAAACGCAAGGGGGGAAATGGAAAGTGGCCGTTTGGACAGGTGGCTGTCTTTTAGAGGTGGCCGTCAGGGCAGGTTTGACTGTATACAGACCCGGTAGGGGAACTCTTTTGTGATTTCGGAAAGTTTCAGCGCCCAGACCCGGTAGTGTGTGTGTGTGTGTGAGTTAGAAAGAGAGAGAGAGCAGGGGGAAGTGCTAGCAAAATGTATATGACATGCCCCAGTTGGCAGGAGCGAACGAGAGAAAGATAGAGTGAGAAATAGGTGGGGAGAAAGAAAGACAGAGACAAACAAAGAAAAAGAGAATGCAAGCGATGTAGAGAGAGAGAGAGAGAGGGTGACTGCTAGATTGAAATTATGACATTGTTCTTTTCTTCAAATTGTGATTCCTCCAACTCCAAAATGGGGGAAAAACGATAGTTCATCGAAAAGACATCCGCAATCTTCATTTAGATTTAGAATCTAGATCTAAGCTAGCCTCGAAACTAGATCTAGGATTTATATCTGTCTGTCTAGATCTAGACCTAGGTCATAGATCTAGAAGAACCTAAGTTTACCCTGAGCCAAGAGGGCACTAAAACTTTCCGAAATCACAAAAGAGTTGTAACCCTACCAGGTATACTTTGTGACTTTGTTCTCGGTTACCGGGCCTGTATACCCTCTCATTTGTAAAAGTGTGCATGACTGGGACTGTAGGCCTACACTACACTACTATCTACTACTACCTAACTACCACTGCTAGGTACTGGCAACTTCAGTGGTCGTCCTTACTCATTGCCACTACTTTGACTGCCACTTGTATGAAGTAGGCTATAAAAAGTTGGTGCTTTTTCGGTAGTTCCCACCTCCCTATTTGAGCCTAGAATCTAATACTAATATATTATATATCTAGCTAGATTCTACATCTAGATTTAGATCTATACGTTTTTATGCGCGGCAAGCTAAGATATCAAACCTAACAACTACAAAACATCAAATGGTAAAGTTCTCCCCCTGAAACCCCCCACCTTTTTTTAGGTAAGGGGGAACCCCCTAGGCCTACTCTTGGGGCCAAAACCGGCAAATGACAATTGCGGGGCGGGAACTACTGAAAAAGCGCCAAAAAGTCGTGGCTACAACGAGATTTCAATTTTAGTGATCTAGATTCTAGCTTAAATCCCCAAGGCTAAGAAAAAAGTAGAACAAAACAAATGAAATAAAACAGCCAACATTGATGGCGCATTGCACCTTATAAACTCCCAGCAGTTCCCCCTACGTTGTTCTGGCTCAGTATGAGCATGATATTGGTAAATCAGCCCTTTTACAATTCTACTGTGATAATATACCCCGTTTGGGTATCGAAGGGACTATTTCTCTGAACACGCGCGCTCGGGAAAATAAACTTGATCTCTCTTTCTCCAAACGGTTTCCATTCTCGAGATATTTTGTGCGAGATTTAGGCGTCATCTTTCATTCTGCGAGGACTGGGAAGAAGCATTTTTTGCATCGAATTCAATTTCTAGAGCTAGATCAAGAGATTTTAAACGTCTGAATATTCAGATACTTCAGTTGTGGTTGGGCAACGGTCCCGGACTATTATACACACTTCATTTGAAAATGCCTTCAAAAGTAACTGTGAGAAGTCACCCCTAAAGCAAACACTAAAATCCTTCATGTAAACAAATATAATTTTAAAAAACTCCATGCCCCCCCCCCCACCCCCCCACGCCTTGTTCACACCTTATACATATACACACACACACACATATATACGCACACTCACTCACGCGCACACTCACTCACCCACACACTCACATACACACATGTGCGCGTTTCGTGCGCTGGCCACTGCATTCGCAGATTATCAACCAATCTCGAGAACGGAAACTGTTCGAAGAAATAAACTTCGTTTATTTTTCCGTGCGTTCGGAGAAATAGAGCCCACTTTTGGGAATGGTCAAAAGACAACTTCAGTCAGTAGCACTGGCTCTGGTGGGATGCGCACATTGGTGTTGATGCAGATGTAGTCAATGACATACTAGTTACAGAGTGTGACCTTGGTCTCACACATACATCGTCACTTTATGCATCATTCTTTGTTTGTTAGATGGCTGGACTTAATACGGGAATAAATGATTGAATAAGAAAAAAGGCAGTGGGCGCTAAATCTACCGCAGATCCATGTGTGCTTTTTTTTTCCAAACTTGGTAACTATTTGACTATAAACAGAGTAGTCAATCTCCATGAGACTGAGATACTTGGTAGGAAAACAGACGATTAAGATGAGGAAAAAAATAACAAGGAAAGAAAGTAGCAATAACTGATCAATATGGTAATTTATATGTAATAATATTGATCACATTGATGATTGGTCAATCATTAGTTACAGTGCATTTAAGTGATCCCTAAAACAATGCTCAGGTATATAAATAACAGGCATGTCGATCCCGGCAGTTCTGTATAGCCAGGGCTCACTGCATAGATTTTAACAGTTTATTTAGTACAAAAGTCACAGGTTACTTTGGGTAGTGTGAGTCACTGTGCTGATCATAACTCACAAAATTTCTCTAATATGAAAATATTTTAAGGTACATCATAATTCAAACAAATTTTGAAAAATATCCAATCCTATGAAAAGATCTTTTGTAAGGGGTGCTGGAAATTGGTTCGTAAAATTTGTAGGTGGAGTGTGTACTATTTGTATCTAAAAGACAGGTTAAATTTGAAGAAAATGGGTGAAATTGAAAATCTATAAATCTTTATTCTCGGCCGATATCTCCTTTCTAGGATTGCGAGAAGTAACTCAAACTGTCGCCACACCTCACATTTTTATGTGGAGCTAATTATGTTGTTCTAGATACTAAATATAGTTTTTGACTTAATGCAATTTTGCGTTAATGCAAGTCGTGTGAATAATTCATCTCCTCTACAGGTCAGTATCTTGTCTCTGAGATAGAGAAACGCTCAGATATAGAGCTCGCCTTTGTGTGGAATCGAACTCAAGAGAGCATGACAGGGAAAGTAGCAGAAGACATTATCCTCAAAGATCTTGGTTCTTTCAAAGAAAGGTGAGCTTGGTTTTCTCAAAGTAGTTTTGCTCTAATTTAACCAACTTTAGCTATTGTTCTGGCTGATAAAACAGAAAGTTGGAAAAGGCCAATGGAATCGCTAAGGTTGATCGTTATTGATTCAAAATGTGAATTATAGCAATTAGCAATTCAATTTGCAAACTACACAATTTGACTTTGTTGGATCTATTTCCCTTATCCTAACCCTAGCCATCACCTCATCCTTACACATGTATCCAGCTCTCATTAATAAGACTGTTTTTGCTTTCTCTCAAGCCATTAATTATATTAACACTTCCTTAGGTCAAGGCCGATTTGAGATCTCTTGCTGGAACTTACTTGCCCTACCACACACACATGGCGTCTCCATTATTGGTGAGGCCAACACTGGGATAGCCTTAACATCAGTTGTATGAAAGACATTTTTGAAAAGAGAGACCTCTCGAGTTGACAGTCACCGTTTATTGTATGGGATAAGTTCACGCAGTGGACCCTTTAGCTGGGATGTACTTTGCATTCCCTGTTCCGTGTCATGTCAAGGTGTGAAAAATTGTGCAATTCTATGACATACCCAGTGCTTCAAAATGGCATTGAAGGTGGGAAGAAACTCTATACTTTGAGTGGCAGCAAAAGTCACAGGATTATGAATTATGTCCCTTTGCCATCTGTTCTGCAGGAACGCCGATCTGATTGTTGAGGTCGCTCACCCGAGTATTTCCCAACAGTATGGCCCTTCCTTCCTGGCTCACTCGGACTACATGGTAATGCTAACAATACAGCCAGAACGTTTTCATGTCTAATCGGGCCTCATGACTCGCTGAATGCTTTTTGTGTGTTTGTTTGTTTGAGGTTTTTTATACTCAATTTGTTTAGTTTACTTTGAGTAATAGAAAGCCCATCACCATGACAACAGTAATTTGATGTTTTGAAAAGGTAAGGAAGAAGGAGACAGAAAAAATGAAATGCAGAAAGAGTAAAGCAGAATTTTTATCATTGGTGCTCTCCAGCAAAGTGGTGCTCGGGGGAGGGGAGAGGGGGCGGGGTGTGTGTTTGAAAAGTGGGAAAAGAGAAGAGATGTTAAGTTCAGTTGAAGACTTATACGGTTCGTCAAGATTTATAGTGTAGTATCTGTGGTTACGGCACTGTTAAGGTTAGATTTTACAGCGTCTGTTCATACTGGTTTCTTCTGTTCATCTCTTCATTCGCAGATCGGGTCCCCAACTGCCCTCTCTGACTCTGGGCTGGAGTCGAGTCTGCGCGCAGCCGCCCTCCAACACGGTCTCTATGTGCCCTCAGGGGCATTTTGGGGTGGGGAGGACATCAAGAAGATGGCAGACAGGGGAACTCTGCAGGCAAGGATTTGCATCATTTTGGACATTTAGACTCACTGTCTGCTGTCTGATTCTTGTTAGTACCAGCTGGCTTCCAACGAAGAAGCCAGACAAAGCTTTGAATTTTGTAGAATCCAAAGGTTTGGTAGATGTAGATATAGATGTTTTACAGCACCATCAACACAATTTAGATAATTTAGAAGGTGGGCTGCTTCAGCCCTGCCGGCCAGGTTTGACCCACAGTCAAAGAGATGCAATGTCCCAGTGGACAGATGAAGATACTTGATGAAAAAACGTTCCCTTTACTATAATCAAACACCTCTTTTGTGTGTGACGTGGAAGTGGGCTACTGCTACACCACAAACACTGATGAGCGCTTGATGAAAACAGAATCTGAATTTCGTGAGCATTTTAGATCAATGGTATTCTGGATACCTGTTTTTTTCCCTTAAAGTTGACATGGTATTACTGATTAACAAGGGAAGTAATAGTGGTATACGACTACCCTTGCTTACTTATGCCCAGTTATTTCACCTGGCCCCCCGAACAATGTCTGTCAAATGCGGCAAAGCTAATCGAATGATTAGCCTAAAAATAATCCAGCTTCGTCCAAGTTCTGGTTAGGTGGGCCCATCATCAAAACCTGTCAGTGGAACTTTCAAACTCTCGTTCGCATCAAATGACATGACCTCGTACGTGTGAGTAGTGCATGTGTCAGGGACTGTCGGCTGTCGGGATTTACAAAGTTCACTCCCACTGGTCGCATTGGCCGAGGTGTTTTTCGGGACTTAACCAGTGTAGAACGACCATGGGGAGGTGGTGGCAGTATTGTTTTGACACTTGGGCTTAAAGTGCGTACCGTGAAAAATGTAGGGCCTACTTATTGAGGATTAAGGAATAAGAAGAAAAAAAATTAACTACCTTGGTGCGATTGGGGGGGGGGGGGGTTCCTTGAGTGTATAGGCGATATGTTATTATTGTATGAAAATGCACGCCTTTTGCATGGATGAGTAGAGTTACGTGTAAGCTATTTTCAAGACTACTTGAGTTTCAGCATTACTGCAACCTGCACTCCCCCAGTCTATCCAAGTCTGATTCAAACTCAAGTACATGATCAGTTTTTTCCCTCCACGTGGTCCAAATGTGAACTTATTCTTGCAAAAGTTTTGTCTTGCACACTCGCCTCATAAAAGAGAACCAGGAACTCCCACCCCTTCCCGTATGACTGATTTGCCTTTGGTCCCGATTTTTTTCACCAGATTCTGATTTTTTTACTGTGAATTCCTGATTTTTAGAGTTCTTGCTTTTTGCTTTTGTAAAGTGTTTTACGGCGCTCGCAACTGCATAGGTCATATGAGCGCGCGGGACACTCCGAATATTTTCAGTTGGTAGGAAATTTTGAATTTTGCCCGGGTGGCGGCCGAAGCCTACTCTTATCAATTTTAGACCACCAAGGGGTCTTTAACGTGCGCAACTTGCACACGGGCCCTCCGAGATTTTTCGCCCTTGTCCGAGAAGGCTAGGTGTAGATCTTTCCTACCAGAAGATCAGGGGTGTGGCAGAAAGACAGCAGTAAGGAGGAGCCAAGGAGTAGCAGCAGAAAGGTTGCAGAAAGAGTCAGGAGCCCACAGGAGGGGGCAAAGGAGGTGAGGGGGAGGGGGCAGAAAGTGGAAATGAAAGCAGACGACAGAACATTGCTAGAGAGCAGGAAAGGAGGCAAAAGGAGACAACCTTAGAGAAGAAAATTTTTCGGTCGCTACCCGGATTCGAACCCGCGACCTTTGAATGAGAGGCCAACACCTTAACCTCTAGGCCACGAGAGCCCCCTTTTAGAGTTCATAGAGTGGCAGGTCTGTAAGCTGCTGTGAGAAACTGCAGTCAGAAAGTTGACAAATCCTTTTTTTCCTTGCATTATCCCATTAGGCCCTCAAAGTGACCATGAAAAAACATCCATCTTGCTACAAGCTGAACGGAGAAATTGAGGCTCTCAACAAATCTGTCTCTGACAAGGCAGTGACTTTGTATGAAGGTGAGAATACAAGGTCGCAGTAGACCACGACTGAAAAATGGAAAATTATAGGGCCTATACCTTTGATGCCTTTTGCAATACTAAGAGGTGAGGCCTCTACGTTTAACATTCGTCTCCAGTATACTACTGAGCCAGAAAGGAAAATTTGTGTAAAGTGCATTACCCAATGGCACAGTGTTAGACCGAGCTGGGTCTCAAACCCACGAACATGCACTCTCACGATCACAAGTCTGCTGGTAGCCTGAGTAGACTACCGACCACCTTTTAAATAAGTTAAAGTGTATTGATGTGAAGTGTATTGCAATAATTTTATCTTTTGGATGGGGGGGGGGGGGTATAGCATTTGCTGTGATAGTTGTTGATTTGATATCCCTTTGGATTTTGCCCTTCTAACACAATGACGCTTGTCATTCATACTGGCTCAATCTAATTCTACAAGAATCCTTTCAAATGTATACACATGTTCCCACATCTATCATCTTCTACAGGGGTCTCTTGTGGTCTAGAGGTACGGTATTTGCCTCTTATTCAATAGGTCCCGGGTTCGAAATCTGACAACACGAAAAATTTTCTTCTCTTAAAAATTGTCTCCTTTCTCCTCCTTTCCTGCTCTCAACCATGTTCTGTCATCTGCCATAACCTTCACTTTCTATGCTCTCCCCCTTTGCGCCCTCCTCTGGGCTCCTGACTCCTTTTGCAGCTTTGCTACTGCTACTAATTATTGGCGTCGTCTCACTGCTGTCTTTTAGCCACGCCCCTGATCTTAGGGTAGATAGGATCTAACACCCAAACTTCTCAGATCAGGGCGTAAAAATTTCGGAGGTATCATGTGCAAGTTGCACAATGTTAAAGAGCCCTTTGTGGTCCTAAAACTAACAAGAGTAGCCTTCCGCTGCCACCTGGGCGATAATTCAAAAAAATAAATTCCTTCCAAACTGAAAATGCTTGATGTGTCCCGTACACTCCTTTGACTTAATGCAGTTGGGAGTACCATAAAACACTCACTGAAAAAAAAATTTACCTCTTCCCCAGGCAGTGTACGTGGCCTGTGTCCGGTTGCCCCCAACAACGTGAACACAATGGCAGCTGCAGCGATGGCTGCAAACAACCTGGGCTTTGACACAGTACAGGGATGTCTGGTCTCAGACCCTCAGTGAGTGATTGCGTATTTAACATCAAAGTGACAACTGACCTGTTCACTCATCTACCAACAGTGCTTCAGGGCTAGCGATGAGAATACTTACTTTGAAGAAAGATTTTGAGTAAACCTGTCAGGCTTTCTGTATCTTATCAACACTCGAAACATTCATAAAACAGAGGTTAACAAATTCTTTGATCACTCCTCCTTTTTTTTTAGAGATGTAAATAATTTTGAGGATTTCCCAACTCTAGAATTACACACACATATCAGGGCACTCCATTAGCTCAGTTTGGTATCATGCGGGACAACAGAGCAGATGGCAGTGGTTTGAATCCCAGACTTACTTACTACCCTTTACGCCATCTGGCATTTAGGGCTGCGACGAAGAATCTCCAGCTCTCTCTGTTTTGGGCCATCTTGGTCAACGTCCCCCATGAATAGTTCCAGGACTTCATTTCAGATTCTACTGTGCGTCTCCAGGTCTCCTTGGGTCTGCCCCTCTTGCTATGTCCTTCAGGTGTCCAGTGGAGTGCAATCTTTACAATATAGTCTGGTTCTCTTCTCGGAACCTGCCCAATCGTTCTCCATCTTCTCCTTAGTCCCAGACTGAGTGTTCTTTAACTTGGATTGTTTTGTTGAATTTTCAAGGGTATCAACCCATATGGTCTGGTCCCATTGGAGACAGACGTTAAATTCAGAGGTCCTGCCTTTTAAATAACCTAATAGTGTTGATAGGGGCATTAAACACACACACTTAACACTTACACACGCATATATTGATGGAGTTTATACTCTAGCTATGTTACTGGTTTCTTGAAAATTTTTCGACGTACCGAACACCACCACCCCCCGCCCCCCCTACTTATGATTAAGTCATGAAAGAAGACAGCAAAGTTAACCATCAGTAGGCCTACTTTTATCATACCTTTAGTTTCTGCTGACCTATGGTTTTTATTGAAGACCTGGTGATTGATCTAGGCAGTGGGTTTAGAACAAAATAAACTTTGATGTATTTCTTCCCGTCAAGCTGTTAAAGCATGACACCATTGACATAAGTGTCATTAGTGTCACAACGCAGTGGAATTGGGCTCTCATCAAATTTTGGATATAGATTATTGGTATCATTTTAACGCTTGTTCATTTGTCTTGCTTTTGATGAAAAAAATACCCTTTTTGATAGAAGTTGAGATATTTGTTGTTGAAAGACATGAGGATTGCTTGGTTTCAGAGGTAAAATTAGCCAGAAAATGGCCGCCAAAGTTTGGTGACTTGCATATCTTGAGAGTCCTTGGAAATTGAACCTTTTACATTTTTTGTGCCTTTAACCATCGTTTTTAAGCAAAATCCAGACCGAAGTATTTTTAATGGACGTAACAGGTGTTGAACCAAAAATGTGAAGTCTATAAAAATTGTCAAACTAGCAGAAATAAACGCAGGTTTCCTTGATTTTGATAAATTGACGAGTGCCTCACAAATAAGATTTGATGTATGTCTTCCAGTCATGCTGTTACAGCATATTATTACCATCGACATATTATAGAGTTCAAACTGACTCAAAATTGCTCCCCCCCCCTCTTCCTTTCCATCCCCTCAGACTAAGAGACTGGCATATTGTAGAGGTGGAGGTGTGGGGTCCAGGTGATATGGCGGCTGGTCGCGCGTTCCACGTGAAGACTGTACGTTCTAACCCGGCCAATTTTGGTGCAGTCACTGGATCGGCCACTTACGCTTCTTTTCTAAGCAGTATGTTGGGTGAGTCGTGTGTGTTGTTGTGTGAGTCGTGTGTGTTAGGTGTGTTGTTATAATGAGTTATGTGTATTGTTGTGTGTTGTTGTATTGAGTCATGTGTGTTGTTGTAGTGAGTTGTGTGTGTTAGGTGTGTTGTTGTAATGAGTTGTGTATTAGGTGTGTTGTTGTAGTGAGTTGTGTGTATTGTTGTGTGTTGTTGTATTGAATCATGTGTGTTGTTGTAGTGAGTTGTGTGTGGGGATTTTTTTGTGATTCATGATTCCTGATAGGTGATGTAAAAAGTACCCAGACTTAAATGGATTACTTTCAACACCGACAATGTGTTGTCATAAACTCATCTTTGATATTGAAAAGAAATGTCTGATGCTCCTGTAGACTTGGAAATGGATTGGTTGTTTTGAAAGTAGAGCACTGCCGAAAACATTGGATAGAGTAAGAAGGAGGAAAAAGAAAAGAAAGAAAGAAAGTGAGGTTAATAAAACCAAAATATGTGTCACACATGCTAGTTTGAAATGCGGCTCTGGTATTCATATGTGATATCTTATTGGTGAAGGGTTGTTGACCCCTTTGACTAGAATGTAATGGCTTTGCTTTTTTATGTTCATAAGGGCAAGGGGCAGAATTTTTGTCTTCCAAACAAAAAAAGGCTTTTAGAAAATTTAAGAAAAGTTGGTGAAAGAAAATTCAGACAAAAAAATCTGGGATGATTTACCGGTTTTCATCCTTTTTTGTTTGATCTTTTTGCAGGAGCACATTCCAAGGGCTCGGGCGTACATCTGTGCTGATCTACACCACAAAAAGTTGTTAGATCTGTTTCACTTTGCATTTATGATCTCAACTCCAGCAGAGAAATTGTCAGATTTTCTCCCTAACATTTAATTTCTCCACAGCAGCCAAAAAGTGTTAAATTAATAGCATTTATTTACAATAAGCTTATTGGTCCTCAGACTATGTAGGCTTTGTCCTATTAAGAAATCTGTTAGAAGCTTGTATACTAATTTTTGTTTTGTACCTTTAGCTCCTCATCAGATTGTTGCCATCTTTTAGTTGAAATAACTCCCTATGTTTAGTTTTGATGTTAATCACTTTGAAAACAGTGAATTCCATCAGAGAAGACAGGAGCTAGTACTAATTTGCACTGAAGTACCGAAGAACATGTGCTTTAACTTGATTAACCATAATCATTTTGGGTTGGAGAAGAAGAGTTTTCAGATTGCTGTGACAAAACTTTCAGTTGCCGGAAGTTGGAGCTAATACAAGATAACACCCAGTTAATGCTCTGTTTCATGCACTGAAAGTATTTTCAGCTGGACACGATCCTTAAATTGTTGAGACTGTAGGCTGCCGAGGTACATTGGGGGGGTGAGCTGACTTACGGTAACTTCCTGTGATCTGTACAGCTGTATTCTTGTAGATGTTGACTAAAGCTGTTTTGTTTTTCAATCAAGGGTAATTACGGGTGTGGTGACGGTAGCAGACATTGTTTGTGGTTGTTTTGCTCAATCAGGGGTAATTACGGGTATGGTGATGGAAGCAGACGTTGGACATGGTCATTTTGTCTAATCAGGGATGATTATGGATGTTGCGCTGATAGAATGATTCCCATCGTGCAACTGGCAAATTGCTTTTTGTCTATAAGTTCGATTTTTGTGGACGCTTTCCTGTTTCAGGGAAGTATCCATTTGAGGGTGTGCCCTTTGAGAATGTTAAATCCTTGAACGGCACGATATAATACGTACTACTCAGAAAAAGAAGTCTTCCTGTTGGTGTTTTCTTGGAGAATCAGATTTCCTTGTTCCATTCTTCGCATAATAATGATAATAGATTGCATTTATATAGCGCTCTATCCCATACAAGTATAAGCCCTGGGTGCTGTACATCAATCACAGGATCACTGAAAAGTAATTGTTCATTCACACAGGATAAAATATTTCACTGTAACTAGTAAATGCGGTTCAGCCACATAAAGAAGAACCATTACAATCATACATTAATGATATGCACGTAAGGACAGCACTAAAAAGAAAACATACCAACACCTACTAATACACTACTACTAAGAATTAAACAAATGAGTCTTGAACAGTCACTTAAATGTTTTAGGATTTGTTATTTCTCTGAGATCCTGGGGTAAGGAGTTACAGATTTTAGGGTAAAAAAATGAAAAGTTTCTCTCAACAGAAGTTCTTAATTTCATTCTAGAGGCTCTGAATTTTGCTGCTTCTGTGGATTACCGTAACTGACGAGGTTGAACGTACTGTGTTAAAGCTCAGATAGATTTGATGGGGCTTTATTGTTGAGCCTTAAACCATGTATCTATATTCTGCGCTAACTCTTGGTATTAACCTAGGTACTTCTTTTTTCTATTAGTTACAGCTTCATATCCAAGAGCTCTTCGCAGGGTGAAGGGCCTTTTTCGTGCTTAACGAGCACCATAAGAATATATAAGTGTACTTACAGCTCAAGACTACTTTCTAACAATATTAGGTCAGTAGTATACACATAACAATATGTTTCTTAATCCAACTCCTATCTGTGGTACAGTTCTCATTTTTAACCCAAAAAACCCCCAAATATTCATAAACTTTAAATGTTATTACTTAACATATGCCTTTATGTCAGATTTTATCACAACCCCCGATGGTGGGATAAATACAATGTACTGTAAATCTGCTATGATTTCTAATTTGTTAATCAACAAAGACAAAGAAAACGTTGCTTATTAGTTCAGGATTTCCAAAACCTGAAATACTTTGGTGCATTATATCAAAAGTTACCAGGGAAAAATGTTTAATTTTTTCAAGTAGATGGCCTGTAATACGTTTTGGATACCATTTGTTGCTCTTTATCACATGCGTACGCGAAGAGCAATCTCATCTCCCATTAGTTTTTCTTTTCTTTTAGCATTGGGTATATGATGTAGTTGGAGGAGTATGTAAGGGTTTATCTGCTGTGTCGTAGTCAAACTATGCATTTTGAGTTTTTGTTGTTTGTCAAAGAATGTATTACAAAATTTTGAGGGTTATTTTTGTTGTTGTTTTTTATTGTTTTGTTTTTTTAAAGTGTTGCTCAGCGCTTGCAACTGCATAAGGTCATATGATAGACATAACATAACAGATGTTTTTGACTGACTAGACAGTGTGCTTTTCACCTGTGGCTTTGGTTACGTCCAGTTTAAGTTTTTTAAATTTCCAGTTCATGTGTCGTTGACTGAGTAATAATTTTAGGATGATGCTCAATAGATATTTCAATGTTTTGACATTGTTAAGTCTTGTGAAGACCATGATGGAAGGACCAAAGTCACAAACTAAAAATTCTTGAGTTATTTCTTTAGTGATCATGTGCACTACTGACTACTGGTGTACTTTCGGAAATTGACAAACCGAACAACGAACTCATTAACTCATTGTTTTTGTTTTTTCATCATGGTCTTCATTTGAAATTAAATACATGTTTCTGGGACCACATGAGCTTTAATAACCTCCCTCAAGGGAAAATTGGAGAGTTGCCTTATTGATGATGTCACATTTCAATAAAATATGTGATTGATTGTTTGTTATTTTTCTTGTTTATTGAAAGCTTTTACTATTACATGTAGGCCAACATGATGCACAGTTCTCTTCACCGTGCAGGTTATTTTTAGGATGAGACTCTTGGGTTAGCTTATATAGGCAATATGTGGCCTAAATAAGGTTATGTAGGGGTGGTTTGCTTATATAGGCCATTTGTGGCCTAAAAAAGGTCATAAAAATTAACCGGCATCTGTGGTCAAATGGTCAAGATATTCACCAAGCATAACTCAGCGCGGAAGTCTATGTCTCATTTTTTAAAGTCATTTATTTATTTATATATGTTTTTAATTTTAAATATATTTTTTATTAATTAATTTTTTAAGGTACTTTGGGGGGGGGGGGGATCAAAGTGATCGAGCGTGAAATATTTGGATTTTCACTACTGGTATCTCCAAACTTTCTTTGAGGCCATAATGGTAACCCATACAAAAACTAAAACACCTTTTGGAAAATCATGTCAGGTGGAAGTAGGTCCCCACTGCATTTTAAAAACACTATCAGTGTCGCGCACATTTTGACGATATATCGATGCTGTTAGATTGCAGATTCTATCCGACGGTTACTGTCCCCTTGACAAAATCACTCTTGTCACATTTCTAAGTACACACTGTTTTAAAATGGAAATAGCTAGTTTCACAAGGAGCTGATATTCTTAACAGTTTCAGGAATACTGATTCAATCATTTATAAAACGAAAATAACAATAACAATATGGAAAGTTAACATAACACAGGTTTATTCCCGAACTTACGAGAGTGTGGGGGTGGTCTACAAAAGTGACACGATCAGTAACGCGTATGATGTCCACTTGCATTGATGACGGCCTGACATCGTCGTCGCGTGGAATCAATCGCTGGACTGCCTGTTGTGTTGAGGGATGTTATTCCACTCTTCATGCAATGCTCTCTCAAGTTGAGGAAGTGTCTGAGGCTGATGTTGTCTCCTTCGAATGCCGCGATCCTGCAAGTGCCATAGATGCTCAATGGGATTCAAATCAAGTGAATAGGCAAGTCACGGAGAACTGGGATGTTGTTTTCATGAAGGAACTGGGTGGTTAGAGTGACGAGCTCTGTGCGCTGGGGCATTGTCATGCGTAAAGGTTAGTCCCTGGTTTTTGAATGGCAGCAACGACGTGTGGCCGAAGAATCTCGTCAATGTATCGGTGTGCTGTCAAATTGCCACACACAGTCACAAGTGTGGCCATGCCAGCTGCCTGCTGTAATTCCTCCCTATACCACCACTCTTCCATCACCAAAAGCTCTGGCCTGACTTAGGCACTGAGGAACGAACCTTTCATTTACTCTCCGGAATACGCGTTTTCTTCCATCTTGACATTCCAAAAGAAACTTGGATTTGTCGGAGAACATGTGATTATTCGTTATTCCATACCTGGCAAGACCAACGTAGAGAATGTATTCTTGTCCAATCAAGCCTGTTTCTGATGTTGTAGGGCGTCAGTCTGATGCGATGAGCTGGACGCCTTGCTCAGGGTCCAAAATCTTTAATCAACCGTCTCAATACAACCATTTTTATATTGAGTTGACAGGTCGCATGTTGTTCATCTCATCTCTGCTTTGTCTTGCCATTTTGAAACGATTCCATAGATGCGGCAGCTTGTATTATAAAAAAGATCCTCTCTTTTGGGTAGTTTTTCTTCTCCCAAGTCGACGGGGTCGTTCCTTTTGTGATCCTCTTGTTCCCTCACGATCCATTGTTGCGTACACAGTTCTTATTGTTACATTAAAATGTCTCACAGCAGTGGGTACTGAGGCACCACCGCGGATGTAGCCAACCCAAGTTTTTATCTTTGGCCAATTGTCACAAAAATGACAACGCTTTGATGTGTAGGCTACTTGTTTTTTAAAAACAAATCAATTGCCGTGTCTTGAGTAATCAGAAAACGCAACGCATGCAACTGGCAAGCAGTAACAAAATCGCTCGAGCGTTCTGAAATCTGAAAAACAACTCTCCAATGACAGTTGTTTCATGTAGATCTAGTCAGTGTGTAAATTTGAAAGTAGTTGGTGGCATAGATTATTTTTTATTGATCTTTTTAATGTATATAAATCTACTTAAAAATGTGACAGAGTATTTTAAAATTCCGCGTCAAGAAAACTATTTTCCAGTCAGATCTAGTTATCTATGTCAAAGTGAGTGAGGTGTGTTCATGCAGTGTAAAATAAAAGTGGTTTTCAAATCTGCGACATGTGTACGTCTTGTATTAAATTATGTAAGGATTTGTTTCTAAAACAAAGGAGCGAGAAAGAAGAAAAAAAGCCAATGAAGCAACAACAAAAGAAAATAATCAAGATTGATGGCGAATTGCTCCTACGTGTTTCACAGACGGCCTATGTTGATTGTGTGTACTTTTGTATGTAAATCCAGTCCGTGATTTAGCGTGACTTTAGTCCAACACGTCGTTGCATCGTTTCCCCGAAGGATGACAAGTTCCATGATCTGACAATTTTGGCTTCTATGAGTAACTATGAGGTAAATTACTAAAAACCAAACCTTCTCTCTATGTATAATTTATTGCTCTGTTGAAATTCTAAGATTATTCGGAGTCGTTATTATCAAGATACTTTTTAAAAATGCAATCGAAAAAGCTTGATGTGTTTTGAAACTTAAAATGTTTTACCTCAACTTTCTTAAAACCAGGTACTGAGCAGATAGAATCGAAGTGTGTAATTCTGAGGAAGCGACTTGTTACTGGCTTGGAATAAATGATAGGATGAAAAGTCGACACTCTACATACATGGGCTAGATCTACAGCTGATCTATGTGTGCTCCTTTTCCCAAACGTGGTAACAACATATTCGATCAGGAATACATGTACATGCAGTTGTAACGTGCGCAAAGAATGCTGTGGACTTTGTAGAGCAAGGATATAATGTGACACTTATATACTATAAATGCAAGTATTATTATTATTATTATTATTATTATTATTATTATTGCCCGTGCCTCTCAAATTATGTCTAGTCAACCCCCATAAGATTAAGATACCAGAAAAAAAAGTTTAAGAAATTGAGTCAAAATTAAAAGGTAGATCTATCACTAGATCTAGAAAAGAAAGTCGCAACAACTGATAAATTTGTAGTGGGTGATCTAGGTAATAATAATAATAATAATAATAGTGATCATATTGGTTAATCAATAGTTACAGCAGTGTATGTAAACGTGATCCCCTTCTATTAGTAGAGGGACATCACGTCGGTCCCGACGGTCCTGTTATTGCTAGACACCAAAAATCACTTTGACCAAAAAAAAAAGAAAGAAAAGAAAACGTACGAATGAGAGCAAAAAAACAACAACAACAACAACCATGGGTTCTACAATAGATTTAGCAGTAGCGTAATAACCTAGACCGTGTACTGTGGCATATTATGTCCGGCTCATTGTGGAGCGCACAGTTAGGTCCGAATCGAAGGGCAGGGAAGGTAGGCGCAATGAGCACTGGACAATTATAGATAAAGCGAGACGTTTTTTACCTTTCATTTAGGCGTATTGGCACACACTTCTCTGACTCAGAATTACAAAGTTCTATCGACATTTTTAGCCATTTTGAGTAACTATAACCACGTGGTCAAAAACCAAATTATGTTCTGTCTGTTCCATCAAAATCATAAGATTATTCGGAGTTGTTATCAAGATGTTCAACAAAAATGCAATTGAAAAGGCTTGACATGTCGTGAAACTCAAAATTTTCAACGTCAAATTTCCTCAAAACTAGATACATGTAGGCCTACTGAAAAGATAGAACGTTGTTCTTGGATTTACTTGGATCCAGAGCTAGAATCACTACAGGCGGCACATGTCCATTGCTGCTCATCTCTCCTTTCCAGCGTCCACCTCAGGGTCTTCCTGCTAATTGTCTCCCTGAGGAGCTGGTTTGAGACACGTGTGACCACTCCTCGGAGCAAACTTTTTTTCTCTGTGCCCCGCACACACTTTTCTTTTATTGTGCTGAGTGTGTGGGAGTCTGACTCCTCTAAGAACTTTGTAATTCTAGGGTAGCGGTTTACTGATAAATTTAGTGTAATATCCTTGACGGTATACTGTGGTATATTATGTCCGGCTCATTCTGGGAAGCATCAAAATGTGGTCCAAATCCGAGAGCAGGGGGAGGACGAGGCCGTGAGCTATTGACAATTGGGAGACATGATTTTCCCTTCATCTGGGCGTAATGGCACACACGTTTGGTAGCGAAGTGTTTTACAGAGACCTCAGCTGTGTCAATGTTCTAATATCTGTGGGATTTCCAAGATATTTTAACACCTGTGGCATTTCCCAGGTATTCTCACGCATGTGGTATTCCCAGGATGTTCTGACACCTATAGCGTTCCCAAGATATTCTAATACCTGCGGTATTTCCAAGGTATTGTCACACAAGTGGTATTCCCAAGATGTTCTGACACCTAATTTCAAAGAGGTTCTAACGTCTGTGGTATTCTCAAAATGTACTAACACATCCCCCAAGATAAAAAAATGAGAGAAAGAGGAATCTGAAAAGGGTGCAAGACTGTGTGAGATGGTATTGGTTTTATGTCACTTCCAGCATTATATGGCTCTTCAAAACGTGTGGACATCTTATAATTGTTGGTATACAC